GGGAACCCTAACCGGAGCCTTTGACTCAAGAGTTTGACCCAAAATGCAGTGGGGCGTAAATTCAATGCGGGAGCGTGAACGAAGCACCCGTGTGGGAGCTTCTGGAGACCTGTCACGCAAGGCCTTTGAATCTCCGTTAAGTTTGTTGTTCGCTGGTGCGTTGATTATCGGTGCACTTTTCGGGATTAGTCCTTAGCCTCATGCATCCAATGAAACAAGCGGAACGTGGACGGAGCAGCACCTTATTGACTGGGGGCTGCCCAGCTTGGGCGGGCGGTAGCTGTCCAATGAAGTGCGAAAACTTCTCCCACCGTCGAGAGGAAGCCCCAGGTACCCCGCTCCCACGTCTATCTAGCGGGGGGTTTTCGACCAGTAAAATGCCCCTCAACGTGTTTATTTACTGAAGTGACCTCTCCAGGGGCGGGTGTGGATAGAAGGAAGGAAGCCAGATGCCCAAGTAGCTGGCTTTGTGAGACTGAGCTTTGTCTAGCCTCTATCCATTGGTCTTTCAGGCATGGCTGGATGTACGGCTATGAAAAGCCATCCCGTATAGCTCGCAGGGTCATTGAGGCACGCAAGCCATCACACTACGCCAAGGTGCAGTCTCGTCGTGATAGCATATGCTACCAAACCACGAAGTATTTCAAAATAGCTTCCTCTGAAGAATTCCTACCCACTGGTTTCTTGTGGTGGCGTTACCAGGTCAGAGACGAATGCCTGGTGATTTCTACCAGGTTCTGACCATTGCTAGTTAGTATAGGGGAGTTAGATAATATCGATTCCAAACCACTTATACGGTGTAAGAAGCTCATGGTGACGTTAATCCTCGGCGAAACCCCGAATCAGTTTCTAAATTCCACATTTGGAGTCGACCACCAACACGCACATCGGCAACAACTCGGCCCAAAGCCAATCCGGGCATCCTGGATAGGTGACTACATCCGAAAAGGGCGTGAACTCTGGGTAGGGCCCCCCAAAGAAAAGCTTGCACTTCGGCCCGGAAAAACGGTTAGTATATTGGACACAATCTAAACATAGACTTATATATTGACGCATCTTTCAGTCTTCCACACTCACACAAAGCTTGATCCTTTAAAAAACTGCATGCAACACTTTGGCATACCCCCACACAACATACCTTTTTCCGACTGCATGTTCTATTGTGAATGGTTATATTGACACAGGTCCATTTTGTAGCTCGTCAACATCTGTTTCAGCAGTTCCGCATCACTCAGAGCCCGACATTTCATTAATCCGACCTCACCCTGCGTTCAACGCAAGAACTCTCATGCGTATAAGACAACAAGCAGGTTTGGCTAGTACAGTCGAAAGTATAGAGATTGATGTGTGTATTCCCTAATTTGGGATCCAAGATTAGCAATCCGATTAGCGTATCCTTCCAACTCAAAAGAAGCGTTTCAGAGGCGCGTTTTCAGGGCCATTGTTGTATCAGTGTCTGGTATTACGGCCCAGGCTGCTCTACTAAATTGGATAGCGGTAGACAGCGAAGTGAAACTCCGGGGCTCATGTAGAATCGAAAAGCAGGAATCGAACGAATGGTGCTCATGTGTGGTTTCTGCACTCACTCCCATATACCGTGGTCCGGATACAGTCAAAGATAACTTCTATCACAGCTTACATGAGCTTCCTCTCAACGCTGCCAGTTGTTGTGCTACAGGGTCGCCAAGTCAGAGCAAGTTACTCTGAGAGACCACACCCTTTAAATGGCGTACCCTAGTACGCAAGGGAAAGGGTCGGTGAAACAAGTCCAAAACCCATTGAGAGTCCGTGTCCCGTCAGATTATTCGCTCCTCGTTAGGGGTATTCGACGGATCCAACCTTCTGATGGTAACATGTGACATTCCTACATTAGTCCTGAGACCAGTTCATACTCCCCATAATAGATGATTTGAAATATCGGTCCACCAGTCCCCTAAACAAAAGAATTTCCAATACCCCAAATGTTGTAACCAGTGTTGTAGAAATATTCCCAAGTAAAAAACTGCGATTGGAACGTGCAGATGAAATCCTTTGAAACTGAAATTCTCAAACATCCATGCAAAATATACTGCACCTATTGCAGTATAGCATGACCGCTGCATCATCGGTGTGAGATTATAACACTAGGCTGTCAGGGAATGGTGCTACCATTAGCGCTTTATTCTTTGGAGGTCGCCTCGCTTTTCACTACTGGTAGTTTGTCACAATATATACAGGCGCACCGGTACGGCTCAATCAAAACAGTTAGCATGATAGATTGGCGCAGACACGATTACGCACCGAATACCTTAGGGATGATTAAACAGTGCAATTTTCTAGTGTATGTCTATGAGATGCAAGGTCTCCGCGTAGGGGATGTTTGGCATCCCTTTCCTATATCTCTAAAACATTGTTTCCGTCTGGTAAGTTCATCTAATTAATAGTCGGGATAAAGTCTGGTCATCGGAATATGTACAAGTTACTTTTTCCACTGAATGAAAAGTAATACTATCAAAAAGGGCTTAAGGAACAGTTAGAGCGGTTATTTCAAGAAGTTGAGTGTAAAAGATTTAGATTGAATTGATTTACTCACTACAGGTCATTAAAAACCTCGAGTAGAAAGTAGGATCTAATCATTCATGAGCGATCAAAAACGCCAAACACGGAATCTGGCAGGGTACCAGGCGTTAATTATGCTTCGTTTGCCATAGAGACAGAATTTAAAAAGAAAACTAACTTCACTCAAACGGACGTACAAGAAAAGACCCGCTTCAAGAGGCAATTGTGTATGTATCATCATCACCACCACAAAAAATAAAAGCGACACACAAGTAGCGAATGGGTTCGGCCAATCTGGCTCGACAGATCCGCCTGTGGGTTGGTATATATGTATGTGTGGGCATGTGCATGAGCGTGTGCTGTGACACACGTACAGGCACTAGAACACACAGAAGTGGAATGGCGCCCGAATAATGTTTGCCGGGGTGGGAGCCCACTGAGGTTTGATGCTTTCAGGACGAACAAACCCCGCGATTGGCATGGTCGACGAAAGACGAAGGACACATCGGTGCACATATGCACTCAGAGGACGGGAGAGCGCACAGAAACATTCGTGTACAGGAATCAACATGTACAGAAGCATGTGGACAGATGGGTAATCATGCCTCCACAAATGATGAAGGCGTCATCATGTGTGGAGAGGTTTTAGGAAATGCAAGAACGCACACACGCAACTGTGCATTGCGACGTGCTTGGAAGCGTATGTACGAGGTCCGGGCATGCATAGGGTCTGTGGCTGTGGGAATGCAAACCCCGTTTGAGTTAAGATTTCTACATGTGGAGCAGTCTGGCGGGCGGTAGTTAGGTAGGTCACGGAAAATGAGCAGCGGAACTGACTGTCCATACTAGCAAGCAATCACGCGAGCTGTCGCCGCTCGTGAGATGTGGAATGGCACGAGGGAAGACGCTGAGAATGCACGGCTTGTCTGAGCGTAATGAGCAGCTGGAGAAAAACGAACCACAGTGTGACGAAACAAACACAAGCGATTAATCAAAGAGATAAAGACGCTGAAGCAGAACAAGGATAAGCATGCAGATCTGGTTTGCATACATTCACACAGACCTAACGCAGTGTGGGAAACGTACAATGTCCCACCGAGAAAACGGAAATGACTGTATCATTGAAGAAGAGGATAGGATGACAGAGCGGACGAGAGATGAAAAGAAACAAACCTAACACGGGTATTTTTGTGCAAAGAGAGGTGTAGTGTGAAATAGTTTCTCTATTCGTTGCTGATCGCGGCATCCGGCTTGAGCGTGTGTTTAAGCGTGTACACAAGAAACACTCGCATGCAGTCGAACACAAGCGGTTGGTGACGATGACGACGATATACCTGATCCTGTTCGGTTTTGACTATGACACTCATATATGAGTGCTCATTATATTCTACTGCTGAGGATTTAGATAGAGAGCAACGGAAAAAGAAACAGACCTACGATATCACAAGAACCCTGTTCATTTGGGCGGTTGTGTGAATAGGAACAAGGTTCGAAGGCGACTAGGTAGACGAGATCAGGGATGTAATTGGATCACAGTCGAACTAGAATTACAACGGAACGGGGATGGCATTAGCCTCGAGAAGTAGAGATGCGAGGTAGTCATTATTGAGCCACAGTGACAGTAGCCGAAGGATTTGTGCATGGGAGAGGCGATAATTTGTGGACGACGACAATCTCATACACAACCATAAGTCGCGAAGTGGTCGAACGATCCAAATAAGAGTATGAGGCTTTCGTTAGAGAATTTCTCCATGGGATTTCAGGTAATAATCAGATTTTCGGTAGTTTAGGTGCAGTGACCACAGGGTTTGAGTCGATCAGCGTACGTCGGGCTTCTGCTTTGTAGTCAAACGGGCATGCATGCACCTCCGCATATCGATGACGGGAACAGAAGTTTCGGCCACATCTGACAGAAAATAAGGTTAGTGATAGAAAGGATTACGATGTAAGACAAAGAGGAAACAGCATTTTTGAAGTGGAAACAGTTTTGCAAATACAGCCAACCTAAAACGAACCTAATTCTAGCTGGTACATGTTTCATGCCAGTGTTTTGAAATACCAAAAGCAAATACACACGTGATGAATTTGCTGAATTGTGTTTCAGTTTTACTTAAACTGAATTGCACGCGTTCAAGAAGGATACTGTTATCGGAATATTTCCTCAGAAACGAAATCATGGTGTATTTTTTTCATTGAAGAAGTCTAACTACACGAAACAAACAAAGAAAGAGCTCCACTGTGTGTGAGAATATTAAAAGTAAAAAATAAGTCTAAGGCTGAAAAATCAAAACCCGGAAAATAGACATACCGACAAGAGTAGCTATTCACGATCCCAATTTTCCTCAAGCAAAGAGCACAGCGTTTGCGTCGTACGCTATTCGGTGAATGAGGTTTTAGTGGAGAGCGGGGATTGTTTGGGAGTGTGTCGGTTTTCCCTGGAGCTGGTGGTGCGGCTAAAGGTCGAAGCACAACTTGACCTTCTTGCCTTCCCGCAGATGTTTTCGGGGTGGATGAGTGTCCACCACTGCTGCCAAGGCGTGAAGAAACACGGGCTCGACCGTCATCAGCGGATAGCAGGCGAGTCGAACTTGAGGATTGGTCTGTTTGGGAGAAGACGAAACATTAAAAAATGAGGTCTCTGCTATGACGGTATTTGTTTGTTTCAACTTGAAAACATTCCGCGAGTAAAACATCATCATCGAGCAACTGCGACATACGCAGTTGATATAAATACTAAAGCAATACTAAACAACAAGAGCATATCAATTTGAGGTTGATGTACTGCTCTCAGAAATTGTATTGGAACTTCTAGACTGTTTTCATTATCCCATGGTGCGTATGCTGTTGACCGCTTTAAATGTCATGGTTTATTAAGGCGCTTGTTGATTTTCGGTTTAGCCGTTATATAGTTCACCATAATTGGACAATGAATATCTGATCGAATTGTCAGAAATGGATACAACCCTTGTGTAAAAGTAACAGTGCTTTTCACCGCGCGATGTGTAACATATTACACACTCCTCGTCACCACAGCAGATTACCATAATCGAAGAGCACTTCTGTGCATTGTGCACCTAGCATACTGCGAAGCGACCAGAACAGAAATGAGAGAAAACTAAACTCAACCTCATTATTTACAAACAACAACATTGGATGACAGGCGGAAAAATGACAAGCAAATCCAAGGAAAATGAAACCGATTTCCCCAGTTTCGCTTTGTGCATGCATGACATTTTTAATTGCATGAGATCTCCAACTAACTTGCAAGGTTTTTACATCAGAGTTCAACTTGGATTAATTTTTTATGACGAATAAGTGAACCCAATGAAAGGAGTAACCTCCTAATATGCTCGATCGGCCAATCCACGTCAGAGCTATCTTAATCAAACACCGGCTGAAACAAAACTGTTCGACAAACCGAGGAGTTGCGGACCACATACTGTTAACTGTCGAATGTGAATGTCAGAACCATCATCTGCACTAATTTGTACTTAAACAAAAGTGCACGTAGTTCGGAGTACCCAAAATTGTGAACGGTAAGAAATAGGTGATGATGATAACCTGGCATTGATTATGTGAACGGTTTCGCTCTGGATTCACCGAATTTGCCAAAAAGTGGTGTTTCTCACAAAAATCAATGGGTACTATTTAAGCGGATCTATCGTAAAAACAGTTTCAAGTTAATCTGAACAAGAAATCGATCAAGGGGTTACATTCTTTTTTATCCAGAAAAACAAACAGCTGACTGCGTTTTACAGGTCCCGCATAATCATTTACTTCTTTCAACTGAATCGAAAATGGAGAAGTTTCGGGAGAAAATCTGATGCCATAAACTTTCAAACCGATCGGCCTCTAATCTCCTTGATATACAGCGACATAGAAACGAAGTTTGGATATCAAACCATAAAGTTAGATGTTTTTTTATGTGGCAGGCAATTAGTAGTTACCCTCATTCTTAAGAAGGGTTCGCGCAGTAGAGGCTAATCAGCGAGTTGTCAGCCTACCTCAAGAAGCGGCTGAACTTCCATAAATCAACGTTATTCGGAAGACGCAGAGGTGAACAAAGAAATGGGCTAAGTTTCAAGCTGGTCATAGATTTATTGATTAGACTTCCAACAGCTGATTGAAAAGTAATTTTGGTTAAAAAATCACGTGCTAAATTAACGTTCGTTTTACGGCAACATTCAAATCTCCTTACTTGAAAATTGCATTGTCGCGAAATACCCATTCCTTACTTTGCTTTGTCTCACAATTAAAACCTCTCTAAATTCAAGTGTACAATTGCCACATTGTTTTCAATGAGTTTCTCAACTTCCATCGTACTGTATTTTTTTACAAATCTAAAGCATACTCTTTTAGAGTAGCAAGCTTGGATTAGCCCATTCGTTTGTTAAGAGGCACCAGGCACTCTTGAAGTTCTTGCTTACTCCTTCATTAAAATCGTGCTGGTGATCTAAAAAGTAACTTTATTTGAGTTAAATATGGAGTTGTCCGTTTGTTGGAATCAACTGAAATGACATTGTCTCGTCGATTCATTTAATAGAGGAAATCACTTTATCAACCGCCATGTGTTTGAGCTCCCTCAGGTCACGATAGAACGGGAAACTGATTACTGGGACGGACACGACTACATAAAATCTTTTCCGTAAATCAGTTTCACGCCCCAACTACACTGAAGTCAAATTCGATGGTAGTGCACCTTCAGTGTAATATGTTGTGGCCGTACTGGATTGCTTCAGCTCAAGTAAATGGGGAAATAATACAGCGAATGGAGAAGTATTGTCATTTGATCACATATAGCTCACCCGGTGGACGCATCACAGGTGAGGTTTCGGCTCTCGTACGGAAGGTTTCACCGGCATTTACCAACTTGATACATCTGGAGCGCCGTCGCGGTATTTGGTCATCTGTGAGGGGTCGAGAATATGCTGTAGCAGCTGAACAAGTGCTGTTATACGGCGCATTACGAAAACAGAAAGGAGACAGTATTGGTGTTCGAGCTGCACTGTCTACGCCACATTACAAGAGTTTAGCGAGGTAACCGGACAAACAATACCGAGGTTAGGCGCAGAGTTTAACTTGATTGCGGTCAGTTACTAGTGTAGGTGGTTGACTTCCGTAGGTTACGCTGGTTGGGGCATGTGTTACGCATGTCACCAAATAGACTGCCACGGCGTGCGATGTTTGCTGAGGCGGGTGATGGATGGAAAAAAGTTAGAGGTGGTCAAACCTGGCATAAGAGTATGAAAACCCTGGTCAGGAAACTTCCTCGCATAGGTCGAATTAACCCTCCTGGATGGGGAGCTCGGAACGATTGTAATCGATGGTTGGAGACACTGAGTGGCTGCGTGTCGTAAACAGTGGCGCTCGTGATTTTACTCATTGTCCTTGGGATCCGAGTCTACGTGAACTCTATTTTCACCTTCACGCTCCTTTCAACTTTCCAACCTTCCTCCTACCCCTTCATCTGAATTGGTAACCGTGCACTTTCGTGCAATGTCCATTGTTGAAACTAAAACTGAGACAAGGCGCTAGGGGAAGAAAGGATATAACTAAACAGTCTGCTTTGAAATTCAGTAAGGGGTGTTATGGCCCCATCTAGTTTGCAGTCTCTTACCAAATTTACGTGTTACATGCATGCACATTTTCACGTATTCTTATCTAATAAAAAAACATGACATGAACCCCATTGCTGTCAGTCTATTGTCGTATCCTTCAGTATTTTCGATAATCCAGTTGTTGTTTAGGACCCCAGCCTGGAAGACGAGAGATACCTACCTACCTATGAGGTTTGTTGGACATCTTTATTATTATTATTATTATTATTATTATTATTATTATTATTATTAAAAGGACCACTATATTTCATATGCACCCGAGTTCAGACTGTGTAGCAAATAAACCAAGACAACGGTACTGAGGTTCTCAGAGGCCATATGTTAACTTTACGTGGGCTTCTTGACCCCGGAACGTCCATTGCACACACTAACAATAGATTGTTTCACAGGACCTCGTTACCCCTTATACACACCACCGAAAGACAGATCTGTATACTTAATTTACTTTTCCTGGTGTCCATTGCGTTCAATAAAAAAAACTTAATATCTGTACGTACAAGGGCACCGCAACATTCTGGGGTTGGTGGGTTCGCCATCTTAGTTTGCACAGCGCCCTAACGGAGTAAAACTAGGACGGGTGAATGAAATTGTAGGCTGTTCAAACCGAAAACTAAACGATTGCGACAAACGCAAATCACATTACCTGAAGCCATTGCAAACCCGACTGACAAAGTGCCATAAGTTTCATGCTAACATTTGAGAAATAAAGCAAATACATTCTCCAGGACTTACTGGGAACAGCAGCGCCTATCAGGTTGGGAAGAAACTGGATTGCTTGTGAAATTCCGTGTCTTGAGCGCTGTTGAGATGAGCGAGGAGAAGGTGCAGATGGTGGCTTTGTCACGTTTGAGGCAAGGGTGGAAGATGATGAGCTGTATGGTACTGGAGATCCTTTTTGTGCGATCAAGTCTGAAGGGGCTAAGTCATTGGTATGGGACGTGGGTTGAGAAACGAGGGAACCAGCTCGACGGGCACTGATAGATGGTAATCCGCTGAAGTCGATGATCGGTTCAGTTTCCGGATTAACCAGACGGGAACCTTCCGTGCTCGAGGAAGCATGTTTAGAGGTAGAACATTGCTCAGGTTCAGAGTGAATGTTTTCTGAATTGGGATGAAAGAGAAAACTGGGCTCCGGTGGTGTGACTGTACCAAAACGCCTTTGCCGACGTCGTGGCTCCAGATGTGGATCAGAATTGGAACTAAAAATAGATGAATATATCTTGTTCGATGGTATGTCGGTGGAATTCGATGGACGATCAGTGGTAGGGCTCTGTGGTTTATCAGTGGCCGGTAAGACCAAGTTAGATTGCGATGCCGTGATGTCCGTAGATTCTGCCAGCACCAGCGGATTACAAAAAGCAAAGGGAAATCAATTTTGTTTGAGAACTATGAAAAATGTCGTATAAAAAAGGAACACGTTATTTTTGTTGAATTACATAACTCAGCAAATGAGCTAATAAAAATCCAGCAGGTCTATAGTTATCGAAAAGAAATAAGGCAAGTAGAATATACTTTATCTGAAATGGCTGTTTGTTGGGTTGCAAAAATAAAAAGCGCATTTGTTTTACATTTACTGGGAGGGGGGCAGAACTAACATGCAATCGAGTATGCAGTCACGGAGCAAAAAGTATTTACCATGCATGGCACATGGATTTATCTGNCATTTTGCATGTTGAACGGCCAAGTTTATTAACAAAGTGTTGTAGGTTTGTGTCCCAAGTCCGTCTGCTGAAGTGTTATTATTCACCGGCCGACGGAAATAGCCTGATTGATGGCTAAAACGTGATGGCATAAACTTTAGGACACGCTGAAAGACCACTATGACATACACGCCCTGGAACGGTAATGGCAGATGTCGCGACGTAAACCAATGTTGTAGTCTTGAATTTCCGCCCCAAAGAATAATCTGGTCCAACAGTACCAATGCGCTGTCCTCAAGCTGTTTTGGTTCAAAAGGTAAATCGTTTGCATTTCACTTTATCCAACAAATAAAATCGCCTGAGACGCCGCCGAAAATTCATCAATCTAATTCGGCATTTACCTAACAAGAGTTGGAAAGCGTTTTCGTGTTTTGACGTGTCAAATAATACGAAACAATATCTTTATTTAAATCACAGCAAGTGACTTCCAGAGAAGCTTGCACGAAGATGCCACGATTTCTTTTGTGCAAGACGCTTTGAACATCCCTATCAGTTTTTACAACCATTAACCATGACCTTTCGAGCGCCGGTTTAGGTTGCTGTCTTTGGCTGTCCATTTGGTAAAACAGCAGAGTGGAACTTCGCGAGCAGAGTTAAAGACAAGACAGAGAATTAACTCACACTGGGGTTACAAGAATAATGACTAGTTGCACGAGCGCAATTGTTTGCAACAATCAGCCATATCATCCGAAATCACTCCAAAATACTGTAAAGAGATGGCGATCAGGAGTACATGTAGATGAAGAAACCGAACCGGTATATTTGATGAGAAACAAAGACTACAAAACCACGTGTGCATCCCGAAAAGTTTCGTCTGATCATGCATAATATTAATTTGGATTGAGTAGTTATTACAAAATCAGATATAACCAGTGGTGACTGAACACATACAGATACAAGAACAATTGATTTTGTGTTTCGCCGAACGCTTCTTTATAAATAGCGACTACACGATTGCGAAATCATCTGTAATCGAAACGTTCGTTAATTAGTTTTGACTTTATCTTTCATCGGTTTCTCCTGAAACGCAATGGGTTGATTAGAGTGGATTTTGAGCAACTTAAACATGGCTTATCAACGGCCTAAATGCTGGGACATATTCAGATGTTTTTTCCGTAAACGTAACTGCCAGGCATTACACCTCCCCGACACAGTCGTCTTGTCGGTCAATTCTAAGTAAATATCTGCATATTCGTCCTAAGTTCGTTTCTGTGGGGAACAACTTCTGGTGAAAACGCAGTGATTTCCGATGAATGTTCACTGAACAGTGGAAAGTGGCATCAATCGTGGAATCTAATGACAAGAGTCCATCGTGCACTAGGGAAAAAACGACAATTTAGCACACTAATTGACTGAGTCAGATAAACTAATGAGTTGTGCATGAACTTTATGGATGATTAACTCCTTACGTTCATGAACAAATAAACAGGATCAATTATTTTTCATCAAATACATGACGTGAATTATATAAGGCATAAGTATAACACACTAGTTTTTATTAGATACCCCAAAGTTGGGTGGTGTTGGTGTAGTGGGTTACTCGATGTCACCGGCGGGTTTGAACCTCAAGGTTCGAACTCAATCACTATCATTCAACTTCAGTGGTGGGCAGCTTTGCTGTCGTCCGATTCAATACCACGTCTTAACTTAGGGAGGCCTCGTGTGGTTCACCACTCCAAATCCCGGGGCTTAGGTTACCGACTTCCTCCACTAAACGGCAGGTCTTTGCAGCTATGATGTCCACCCCGTTTGTCTGTAATAAAAAAAAACCACTGAGGAGCTATCCAAACTAACCAGTTGAAAAATAGACAATGAATGAACTAATTATTTAAACAGAATACAAGAAAACAATGAAATTTACCCTTATTTGACGTTTCAACGGTACTGGGTTCCCGTCCTTGACAGCTTCTTCTTTGACGACTCTGGCGACGAACACGAGCCTCTCGCATACGAGTCTTGAGATCTTGAACTTTTTCAGCTAATTGTGTACACTCTTGATGCCAGGCGGTGCCATTCTGATTTTTTGAAGAAGTGTCTTTCCGCCGCTCACGACTCCTGGTGATCCCGAAATCCACCTCAAATTCAGAGCGCCAGTTGTCCGCACCAAGACTGCGATCAGAGTACGAATAAGGACAAGACGGATAGATTGGAGCGATCGGGGGACCAAACAGAAGGTCTGCGGTGCGATGGAAAAACAAATAGTCCTCGAGGTCAGCCAAACTGTCATCATCGTCAGGTCCACATGTGTACGCCCCTTTAGTATCCACGGAATCTCCATCATCGTCATCCTCCTCACCGTCCAAATCGTCATCCTCCTCTTCCTCTGGATCTTCCTCACCATCTTCGTCACGATCCGCAACACCGAACTCAAAGAATGTGGACGAGGGGACGATGTCTCGAGTATCATCTCTGTCGTCCGCATCCCAACAAGCATCTGGAGCATTAGCATGAGTCAACTCATCCGCGGCTTCGAGTAGTGGAGACGCACGCTGCCTGAGCCAGTGATAAGAATATCGTCCACGACCATATCCGCGTTCGCTTCCACTAGTCTGACAGGGTAGAGCTAGCCGATCTCCAGTCACAGATAACAAACCGGCCAAAATGGTGGCTGTGGCAGAAGTTACGTCAGAATTGGTGAAAGGAAAATCATCGAGACCATCGGCAGGATTTGATGCCGAGTCAGACTGCACGATAAGATTGAAGCCGGCAGTGGGTGAGTCACGATCACTACCCGGGGCGGAAGGATTACTCTCACTATCCGGTTCGGTCATACCGATCAGTGGAAAACGACTGCGGGACATGGCAGGCTGACTTAATGTGGTTACTTCGTTTGGCTCGTACAAACGCCAATACGAGGAAAGATCAAACGAATTAAGTGTATGTCGCAAGCGGTTGGAGGGATTGATTAGAGGTGGGTAACCCAACGGAGGTGAATGGGGACAATTGCCTTCCTTGCCACTGCTTATCGGACGATCCTCCACTGAATCCGGAACGGTTAAATCGGTCTTATTTAGAGTTGAATCAAAAGCGTTTGTGTTTGCGTAGCATTTAGAACTTCTTGGGGATGCCTTGGATGTAGGAACTGGGGCTTTGCGACCTGACTCAACTCGCTTGGGGACTCCATGCGTGAGTTCAGGAAGTTTACTTCTGCAAACAGTCCCGTTCACGGGTTGCTCGCGATCAGTATTTCTGGAAGAAACAGGTGAATCTGTTTCCCGTTCGCCAAGCCTATATTCGATAGAAAATTAAGTTTGGCATTGATAAAAACGAAAAAAAGAATTATGAAAGCTTGAATATTCCCATGGCAGCATTAAGAAAACGGGTCGGTAAGAGAACAATTGTTTACGGATATTCCTAGTCATGTTCTTACACATCACATGGTGGAAAGTGCTCACAAAACAACAGTCATTGGCTTAACTTAAGGTTATTAATCGGAGTCGGAGGGAAGAGAATGTGTATGTGAGAAATCACGGAATGATCAATACGCAACTTCCATAGTTTCGTTCCCGTGAAATAAAAAAGTAATCTAGTCGTTTCTAGTCTTCAGGGCACGTAAGATTTGTTCAGCATACACACTGGATGAAGAACTACGCTTTATCCGCCGAACGCTGAAGGATAATGGTTATCCGGAAAAGTTTATTTACTAGAATATTCTAATATCTCTGGAAAAGGAAGGCCCCGTCTGTCCCCAAGAGAGAACTATTCATAAGGGACTCACGCACATAAATGGATATAAACTACACTTTCCCTGCAGTGAAGCTTAGAGCGGTGTTCTAAACATCGCCATCATCCATGTTAATTTATTCCTTTAAGTGTATTTGTGGTGCATGTTACATAGGCTGTACGGTAAGGCGTTTGTCTCAACTCGTTAAGGAGCACCACCCGCGATGGTTAAGTCAGGAGAAGACCGGCTGCATCTCAAGTGCGNCGACCGTGGGTCACCTCGTACACACCAAACACAAGATCGAACCGGAGAAAGCTTTCGATATTGTTTATCGCATCCCACTCCATTGATCGAGGGTGACCGGAGTTTGGACACTAGCCACGGTCGAGGCGATCGCCATTCCCTAACTTCGCCCGCATCTGTGAGCCCCAAGTAAGACTGGTTCAAGCGCTTCAAATGCCTTGGCCGAGTGTGAAAACTAAAACACAACAAGATGTGTCCCATGACCCAAATGGAGAAAGGTCACATCAACTGACACACACACACACACACACACTTTAAACTTCTTCACCACGACCAATATGTCGATATCGTTGCCTGACAACCTACGACCAAAGTTTGATGGTCATATTATATTATTATTACGATTATATTATTGGTTTTGAACTGACGGACACAACTGGATCATGATGAGGTTGTCTTTGTACTTTCCTTTTTCCTGTTTCAGAAAATCAGTGAAAACAACAAATACAAGGGATGAAAGTGATAAGTTATTGAACTAGGCTATTGCATGTATCCAACGTGAATGTACGAGAATAAAATGACAGAACCATGGTGTCTGCATTCAACACAAGTTAATCAAGTGGACTAGTAAGTAAGAAAACAATGGGAGACGTTCAGATGAATAAATTGCATAGTGAAAACTTATCAAAGGATATAGAAAGAAGAACCTAGGGCCGAGTTCCCCGATGGTTGGGACTTAGGTAAGCAAGAATCTGCGCCCACAGCTGTCCTCATGGAGAGAAAATTGTTTTACACCATACATATCTTGTTTTCCAATTTTTCGTTCCCTCACATGCACTCCCCTCAAATATTTTCAACTCTGTCGGGGTCTCCAGACAATTGTACCGGCAGTTGTGCCTCAGATGGAAATCCTGCCTCTATTCTCTCGTGTCCTGCCTCGAATAGCACTCACGTTTCAACAAATCCTCCTCCAGCGGCCGAAACTCTCCTTCGCCCTCGATGCCCTTTCAAACTAACCACACAACGTGCGTACTCTGATGCGTGTTTAGCTCGTACTCTCGAGACCCTAGCCATCGATGCGTTGTGTCCCAGAAACTCGTATAGGAGTTCATTGCTTGATTTTCACTGTTCTCGAGACGTTCGTATTCCAAAGAATTTCTCCTACAATTAAAGGATAATCATTACTTTTTTGTGGTCACACTGGAGTTTCTGGTTGGGGCAATAAGGGCAAGTGTGCCGGGTGGCAACCCGCTCTTGCACACATTCCTGCTGCGTAGATGACGGCTCCCTCATTGGTCAATTTCAAAATTTGCTCGCTATTTAGTAGATTGGCTGACTTATGGTGTGCAGATAAACACGTGTGTGATACGTATATATATATTACTGTGTAACCAAGGTATACTTAGAAATAAAATACATCAGCTCTCATTGTTTAAACTACATCCGTTCAAACTGTGCGTTGGACTAGCTTTGAAGTTTTCCAGCTTATCATTGCCGCAGCTAATTTGTTTCTACTAGCTATACTCTGTGTGATTGCCATGCTTATATATTTCAAGAGGGAATGAAGTTGCACACGGAGGGATCAAAGTTCAAAGTTCTGACATATATATATATATATATATATATATATACATGGATTCATAGACACCGTTTATTATTGTTCCTATTCTTAAATCATCTTCATCTAGCATTTTATCTAAACGCCTTCGCCGCATCACCATCGCTTCTTCCAGAGTTAAACTAGTACAGCGCGCTATTTTCATTCGCCTGCAGTCTGGTATTATTGTTCCCAACGACCCCCTCCCTCTTCAGTTTGTGTATGAGCCGATGGTCTTTGACTAATGTCTCTTCACTGATGTACTTTATTTGCAAATCCCGAAAATCCGTTTGTTGTGTTTCTCTTGATTATTCTTCCG